AAGTGTTATAAAATATTACATCGACGGACGAGTTCTGTGCATTGCATCTTGAGTTATTCGTCGTGCTTGTTTGCTGTATTGTATTAATTGAATGTATACATTTAATTAACTTTATAAGGTTACACGACGAGTTACATCGTGAGTTAATTGCGTCGTTGCTTGCCGCTGTCATTGTATTATAATTGACATTACACATTTATTTACATTATATGTTACGCGATGTGTGATATGGATCAGTTATTTGTAGTTGTTGGCCGCTGTCATTGTATTATAATTGACATTACAATTATATATTACCTTATAAGTTACGCGACGTGTGACATAATCAGTTATTTGTCGTTGCTTGGCGCTGTCATTGTATTTAATTGACATTATACATTTTTATGTTATAAGTTCGCGATGTGTGATATCATCAGTTATTCTAGTTGCTTGGCCGCTGTCGATTGTATTATAATTGACATTAACATTTATTTACCTTATAGTATGCATGTATGACATCATCAGTTATTGTAGTTGCTTGGCGCTGTCATTGCATTAAAACTGACATTACACATTTATTTACGTAAGTATAAGTACGCAGATGAGTGACTATACAATTAACATCGATCGTTGTTTGGCTTCACGTAGATGTGGTTTCCATGCCGGAGATGAGGATACGGGATGCGTCGCGACCCGCGGAGAAATTCGAGGAGCCTGCTTACGAGGTTACTTCACTTCAAAATTAATTAATTTTTAATTTTATTAATTTTAATATTTTAATTTTAATTAATAATTAAAAATTTTATTATTTTTAATTTTACTTTTATTTCAATTTTTTTTTTTCTTTTTTTTTTCTCACTTTAATCTATTTCTTCTCTCTGAAAAGAACATAGGCGAATGTCAGAAAAGCTCAGTGTTAACATTACTTTTAACTTTAAGATTTTATCATAGACTGTTGGCAGAAACAAAATTATTCTAACATTAGTCTTTACATCTTAATCGTGACGGACTCTATACTGTGTATTAGAAACTCGTCACTTTTCGTGTTTTAGCCAATGATCTACGAACAAAGTTAATGTTAAGACTAATATTAAGAACTAATGTTAAGATGATTTTTTCTGTCAAGGGCCAGTACTTTAATTGATCAAAAAAAGTAACAACATGCATGTACTACTATCAAAATTGCACTCCCTATGCAGTATCCTAATCAATAGCTGATACAAATTCACACATTTCTGTCCACGGGCAAAAAGTCATTTTTATTATACAACTATTGTAAAATCTGTAAAAGGTACGTCCCAGAGATGCCAAACCACTACGATTTATTCCGTTTATACGAATTTCTATTCCTTTTTGCCACCACTAGAACCAGTTGTATAAAACTAACGAATTTTCACTGTATCGAAAAATTTTTTTTTTTTAATTATTGTCATTTTTTTTGTCAATTTATGTCATTTTTGCCTGCAGAATGCAGGAAATTGCATCTCAGAATCAAAATTTTTTCGGGGGCCGCCGGACCCCCCTAGCTAACTCGGGTCATACGTGACCTCTCGAACTACAATTGATGGCCAGAAACTACAGATTGCTTCAAATAGTGCTTGATCTCTGACGTACTCAGTCACTGTATAGTCAAGTTGTAGTGACAAAGTTGTTTGTATGAACAACAGTTCGGAGGCTGTCTGTGGGTGACGAGTTGCTATCATCACTTCTTTATTATCTTCACTCACATTTTTTACTCTCGTTGTGCGCACAGAGCTCTTACAAAGGATCACAAGAAGCGATCTGTGGGCCGCGTGAAGTTTCGTCTTGGACAGGACGTCGAGATGGGACTGAGCGTGTGAGTGTGAGAGCGGGCGGAGGGGGAACCACGCGCGTGTGCGAGAGAGAACCGTCTCTCCCGTGCCGCGCTGCGATCCTGAGAAGAATTGATTTGACAATTATTTTATTATTATCAAGGTTTTGACGAATGTATTTATTGGGACAAATCTGTCTGATGCGATGTGATGATAATAATAATAATGTATAAAATAGTAATATATATATTATTATCAGGCGTTCACGCGTCCGACATGTTTCCCTCGCCACAGCTATTAAATAAATCATGTTAAATTAATTATATAAATTAATTAAAGTATTAATTAATTTTAGTAATTAATGTATTGGAGACTGCTGCAGGTATGGCCTGGTGGACCAACGTCGATACGCGCCCGTCAAGCTTTACAAGGAAACCAACGAAGAAGTGAAGACAATCACAAAGAGTTCGTCGAGGTAACCTATCCTACCCGTCCCACACGCCAATTGCCGATTGATCGTCGATTCGATTGATTAAAGAAAATTATTGACTATTGAATTTGATTGGTTATTGAAAGTATTGGTAATCGATTTGATTGGTTATTGGAAATTATTGATATTGATTTGATTGGTTATTGGAAATTATTGTCATCGTTTGATTGATTATTGAAAGTGGCTGATGACTAATTTGAGTGATTATTGAAATGACTGATGATCGGTCATTGATCATCGGACATCAATCATTGACTCGACAATCATCGATTTGAATCAGGAGTAGATAATAGGGAAGGAGTGTGACATCAATAACAAGGGAAATTGTCATTTACTAGCCTTATAATACCTACGATTTCACTACGCGTAACTCATCACTTGAGCTCAAATCGGACACAGTACATTCGCCAATCATGTGCAAATCGTTTCTCGCTATACACCACCGCAATCCGGAGATACATGACTAAAACGTACGACACGATTCTCCATTCTTTGGCCATCAATCCAAATCATTGGCGCGCTCTATTCAAACAAAGGCAGCTACCTAACGGCTATTGTAATTCGGCGAGGCATGTGGTCGTGGAGATTAGGCCATCAACACTCGGCGAGATACACCTTGACGGTACAGCAGCTACACAGGCCACTCTGCACATAGCTGGCATGCTTCACAGCGCCGCACCCAACCGCAATCAGCAGCAGCTGATCGGGCTCAATCTCACCGCGAGCCACATTGCCGCGCGAGTTAGCAAGCTGTGGTTAGGTAGCTGCCTTTGTTGAATAGAGGGCGCGAAATGGATTTGGATTGATGGCAAAGAATGGAGAATCGTGTCGTACGTTTTAGTCTGTATCTCCGGATTGGCGGGTGTATACGAGAAACGATTTCGCACGATAGCTATGCGAATGTACTGTGTCCGATTTGACTCAAGTTGGATGAGTTACGCGTAGTAAATCGTAGGTATTATAGGGCTAGTAATGAAGAATTCCCTTGTTTATTGATGTCACTCCTTCCCTATTATCTACTCCTGATTGATCAATAGACAAAGAAGGTGGGTTGGGTGAGGAGTACATCACCCGGATCCTTTTCTTCCGGTCACAGTATCTATCCCGTTCGTCTGCACACAGGAAACGGGAGAAATCCTGCTCGAGCGACATGGCCAATTACCAGGAGTGGTGTGGAAGAAAACTGGATGGATCCGGACGAAAGAATGGAGTCGATCAAGCGATTTCGACGCACACCGGTAAGTTGAACCTGTGTATAAGGGTATGTGCGATGAGGTGAACCTGTGTATATGGGGTCACCGCGGTGAGTCGAACCTGTAATATTACTATTAGAGTTCACATCTGGTGAGTCGACCCTGTATATAAGGGTCATGCTTGGTGAGTCGACCCTGTATATAAGGGTCACGCCCCGTAAGTGAACTGTATATTATATTAGAGTCACATCTGGAGAGTCGAACTGTATATAAGAGTCGTGCTAGCGTCGAACCTGCATATAAGGGTCTGCCCGGTGAGTCGAACCTGTATACACAGGTCACATCTGGAGAGTCGACCTGTATATAAGAGTCGTGATGAGTTGACCCTGTATACAGGGTCAACGCCGGTAGATCGAACCTGTATATAGGGTCAGCGTCTAGAGAGTTGAACCTCTATACAGGGCACACCCGGTGAGTCCGAACCTGTATATAGGGTCACGTTCTGACGCGTGCTCCTGCTGTGAGCAGGTCTGACGTTGCTGGGTTCAACGCCGGGCGAAGGTTGAAGCGATACCATCACGTGAAGCCTTCGCAGTTCATCTATCCGGACGAGGCAGTGAGTATCAATATAAAATATACTAATTATAGTATATATATCTATATATATACTATATATGTACGTAGGTCTTATATATCTGTATATGTACATATATATATATAATAATTTATTTATAACTTATTAAAGTAGAGTTATAGTGTTAAAAATAATAAACTAATAAAACTAAAACTGAAAATAAAAATAACATGCATAAAAACCGTGATAAATATCGGCAAGAACGGCGTAACGGCCGCGGTACGCGACCGATCGAGAGATATGCACGCGTGCACGTTGCGTTGTTTGTTTCCGCAGCCGGTGCGTGGCAGCAGCCCGTCTCTTCGCTGCGCTCCTGCAGAAGTGCGAGGAGAGGACGTCGTCGCCGTGTGGCAGTACACGGCTCGACGGAACACCCGCACGATTCGTCCACTGCTGCCTCAGGTACGCGGGGTGGCGGGAGGGGAGGGGGAGGGAAGGAGGGGAGGGAGGGACGTCGTCGCGGTGATGCAGTACACGCTCGAACGGACAGCCCGCACGATTCGTCGACTGCTGCCTCAGGTACCCGGGGTGGGGGGAGGGGAGGGGGAGAAGGGAGGGAGGGAGAGGGGCCGTCGTGTGCAAGTACACGGCTCGACGGAACACCGCCGCGATTCGTCGCACTGCTGCCTCCGGTACCGGGGGTGAGTGGGGAGGGGAGAGGGAGACGGGAGAGGAAGGGAGGGGAGGAGAGGCAGGAGGTGGGGCCTTTGTATAATAATATATAATATATGTGTATATATGTGATATATTATATATACATATATATTATATATATATATATATATAATTATTGTGGAGTCTGAGCTTAGATGATGATGATTAACACATTAAAGTTTTATTTGTTGAATATATATAATTAACTATATATAATATTATAACTATATATATATATATTATATAACTATATAATATTAAATATTATATATATATATAATATACAGTGTGGTCCCGTTATAACGTGATCGTTGAGGTCCATAAAATGTCGGGGGGGGGGGGAAGGGGGGGCGCCCAAAAATCGGGGCTCAAGGAAATCAGCGTATAAGCACTCAGTTGCAGTGAGTTGCAATGTGTTGCGTCGCGTCGCATTCAATCGCAATCTGACCTAAGGCCGGCTCAACTCGCCCAAAAACTTTTCAGTTCCGGATTGAGCAAAAAAGGGTCCAACGACTCATCGCGTTATACCCAAATTCACATTAAATCGGGCTGTGTAAAATCGGGGTTTTACTGTATATTATATATGTATAATAATTTATTGCGGGAGCTTGGGCGACTCTAACACTAACTGGCCCTGTGATAGATTGATGTACATCTTGTTTTTGATCACAATTGATCATTCACCAATTAGAAAGAAGAGATGGACGAACACAAGGTACAAGTGACTCCCCCTGGTTTCCACGTCGTCTTCCTGCCGTTTGCAGACGACTTGAGGAAGCTGAAGCTGCAGGAAATGCCGAGAGGTACTGTTGCCAGGGCAACGCTGTGTGTCGTGTCAGTGCCATCCCTGACACCTCTTGACGACACGAGTTTCGCTTATTCGAGTCTTCAAATAATTTATGAATTCTTTTAAATGTCTTTTTATCCTTGTTTTTCTTCTTTTAAAGATTTTTCTTTATTAATTCGTCTTCGAGTGTGGAATTTCTGATATATATTGAATATGGGATATCAGTTTGATTTCATATCGAGTTTTGTACTATTTCTCTCATGTTTTTTCATACTAAATTGTTTCCTTTTTGCAGCTAATGAGGAGCAGATTGCGAAAGCGAAAGTTGTCATCAAGAAATTGAAGATAATCTATTCTCCCGAGTCGTTTGAAAACCCGGGTGGGTGTCTGTCACAGTGTTAGCACGCTTAACGGAAGTTCGGTGTTACGGACAAACGTTTGTGGTTATCGCATTGGAGTTACAATGCATGTACATGTTTTGGCGACACTATGCTTTGCAGTGGAACTCTGCATTTAGCTTATGGTGATGTAATGGTGTGGGCTCATTTGAGCCAAACTAGTTTCCAATCAAATGATTGCAGCCAGATTTAAGTCTGGGCGGTCGTTGTTTTGGACGGTTCTAAAAAGAAACTGCCATTATTTTTGTCCATGTTTGAACATTCATGAAACTTCCATGTTTCGTTATAAACTTTCACATTTGTTCTAGTGTGCAGGTAAGGTGGCTACCCATACTGGGGCCCATTGTCAGAAATGTTAAGACAGCAGTTGTTTCTGACACTGTGTCCTATTTTATTAGAGCAATTATTTATTATAGTATTTTATCATGGCAGTTTAGTGCCATACACTAATCTAGTCATTATGTATCATGGAAGGTTTTGTTGTGACAGTGTTACAGAAACATTGGCGCAACATTGAAGCCTTTGCACTAGAGAGAGATGCACCGGAATCTTTCGTAGACTACACAGGTACGGTGCTAAAGCTGTCTACATAATGTAATACGTAAAGATGTGCCTACATACATGCATACATAACATGCAGTGCATGTATTAACAACTTCAATTTGTGCAATACACAAGGCCATTATTTTTCATTAGGAAATACATCTTTGCATTGGTCAACAATTTCGTGTATTCAGTTGTAATATATTCAGTATCCCTATTTCTAGCTCATCTGACGTAGTCAGATGCAGCTCGTAGAATCGCATGATTGTCCGTGCGTCCATGCATCTGTGCGTGCGTGCGTCCTTCCGTCCGTCAACAGTTGGGCACAAATCTTAACCGCTCGATGTACGGTCTTGATATTCGGGACGTTGAGGGGGATCGCGAAAAGGACTCAGGATGTTGAATTTGGGGGTCAAGGGTCAAAGGTTGAGATGTGTCAATGGAGGGGGAATATTTTCCCCTTAACTTAAGGTATAAGAGGAAATACGGAATTGCGGCACAAATTTCAACGGCTCGACCTACGCTCTTAATATAGTGTGATGGGGAGGAAACCCATCACCAGTGCGAAATTGGAGGTCACAGGTCAAAGGGCAGTGGGGAAAGGTCAGATATCAGACATTTTCTGGGGACATGGTCTAACAGACCGGGTGGAAAACTTTTTTGTTTCAGCGCTGACCTACTATTTTTCACTTTATTGAAACGACCATGAAATCTACTTTTCGCTGACGTGCGAAGAGCAAGTGTCTGATAACCTTTTGACCCTCAAGAGGAGGGTTAAACATGGATTTGTTGATGTTAACAAAGACTGAACTGCTTTTGCTATTAGAGGCCCCTCCCTTGACCCCACCCCCACCACCACTAGCTCGCGCTCGAGCGCATATCCATGATAAACGTTGATATAGCGAAGTCATTAAAGTTACACAGCTTATATCTTTATTACTGTACTACCGGTATAGCAAAGCCTATCAACGCGGTGCGGGAGGGCGCACTTGATTGCAGCACTGGTTGTATTTAGCATTTGTTTATGTATGCTATTTGAGCAATAAGAAGAAATTATGGATCATTGTCATATTGTATTAGATTTCATTATTCAATATGATCACCTTCCTTATAAAGACAGTTTAATTAACGTTTCTTGAAAGACAGGAAATGAAAACATTTATTTAAAACTAAAATGACAACTGTAACCAATTATGAGTACTTTCTGTTTGCGTAAAAAGTGTAAGATTTACAGTATTATACAATAACAAGGAGCATACAACTGATAATAACAAATTGACTGAATCCTCATACATAGATACGTACCCAGGGCACGAAATTCAAGATTTTTTTGGACCGACCCCGAGGCTGGTAACAGCAATTTTTTACCAAGCCTCTCAACCACTAATTGACCTGGCCCTCACAAGTTTTGTTTGAAATCAATGTCTGTTCACGCTGCATTCTCGATTCAAAATTTGTAAAAATTTGATAAAATAATGGCATGATATTAACAACAGTAATATACGCTATTTTCCAATAAATGCTAATAGATAAAAATGTAGGTACTCGCAAACACCGCTTGACACCTCACCGGCTGTCGGAGGGCCGGTGTTGCCAATGCTAACCGGCCCCTCCAAATAATTTGCCGCATAGTGCCGCGTGGCTGTCAATTTGCGCCCTGCGTACCTAGTAGCACAGACCCGTCATAGTATACTACCTCGTCTTTCTAACCCTATCTTTCGCGTTGCCAGTTACCTGATTAATAGATGATGAGAAGAGAGCTGGGCGACACATAGAGGAGTTCAAAGAAGAATGTGTTTCCCAGATGCTTCAACCCCGCGAAGCTGCGAAAGCCGGCGGCGCGCGAAGCGAGTAATATACCGTCACGCCTCCTTCATCCATCAGTGGCAAGCGATATCTATGCGGTACTCTATACAGTCTCAATAGGTAAGAGAGAAGTCGTAACAATTGATTGTCTCCCTCATCAACTGGCTGTCTCAGATAGTAAGAGAGAAGTGCTGCGTGCAAGCGAGTAATCTTCTCCTTTCATCTCTGAATGCAGAGAATATCTTTAGGACTACTATACACGTCTCAGATAGTTAGAGAGAAGTGCGTACAAGCGATAAGTTCTTCCTCCTTCATCCTCTGATGGATGCAGAGATATCTAAGAGACTCCATACACTCTCAGATAGGTAGCAGAGAAGGTGCGTGCAAGCGGTAAAGTTCTCTTCCTCCCATCTCTACAGTGCGGATATCTAAGAGACTCCATACAGTCTCAGATAGGTAGAGGAAGGTCGCGTGCAAGCAAGTAAGTGTGCCTCTCCTCCATCTCTGAATGCAGAGATATCTAGAGACTCTATACCACTCTCAGATAGTGTAGAGAGAAGGTGCGTCGGCAAGCGAGTAGCTCTTTCCCTCCTTCATCTCGGAATGCAGAGATATGCTTAGAGACTCTAGTAACACTCTCAGATAGGCTAGAAGAGAAGGTGCGTGCAAGCGAGTAATCTTCCTCCTTATCTCTGAATGCAGAGATATCTAGAAGACTCTATACACTTCCAGATAGGTAGAGAGAAGGTGCTGTAGCAAAAGGATAAGTTCTTTCCTCCTTTCATCTCTGAATGAGAGATTATCTAGAGACTCTAATACACTTCTCAGATAGGTAGAGAGAAAGGTGCGTGCAGCGAAGTAAGTCTCTTCCTTCATCTCTGAATGCCAAGAGATATCTAGAGATCTATACACTCTCAGATAGGTAGAGAGAAGACGTGCGTGCAAGCGAGTAAGTCCTTTCCTCCTTCATCTCTGAATGCAGAGATACTCTAGGATGAAGCCTATACACTCTCAGATTTAGTGTAGAGAGAAGTGTGCACACAAGTTGAATGTCATTCCCTCTCACTTAACTGCGCTCGTCAGATAGTGTAGAGAGGAAGGTGCGTGCAAGCGAGTAAGTTTGTCCTCCTTCATCAATCCTCAGTGCAGAGATATCTAGAATCCTCTTTGTACTAACCTGTTGCTGTTTTCGCGCAGGCTATGCGGCAATGCTTGGCGGATCCGCAAGCAAACCGACGACTAGAGGCGTTGCTGTGGGACGTGAAAGCAAGAGGGCGCTGGCCCGCAAGGTGCGTACAACATCGTGCTGAACACCTCGCCGTTATTTACATAATGTTATACATAAATATAATATATAATATAATATATACTAATTTAAGATATATATATAATATATTAAAGATATATATATAGTATATATATTAGTTATTATAATATGTATATACATTTTATTAGTACATAAAAACAGGTAAGATACAACGATTGCGTAACATACATACGTAAACATATCTAATAGTTTGGAACTTACGTTAGCATAAAAAATCGTGACGTATAAGTACTGCCGTGCATAAAGTTTATTAATATAATTATTATATTTAATCATAATATTAATATTTGTCGTCGTTTTGTTTCGTTAGCTGGGCAAGATGACCGTGGCTGTGTCTGCCGACAGTACGTAAGACGAGGGCATACGACTGACGCAAGCCAAGAAGATCCGAACTCATGGACGCCATCAACGAATACCTCAACCTGTGAGCGCGAGATGCGCCCCCTGGCATGAGTTGTGGACGCCCCTGCGTAACGTCCCTCTGATGATGTGGCTTTGCCACCATTGATATGTTGATAAGATGGATGAGATGGACTCTCCGAGGATATATATATACATGTATGTATGTGAATATATATATATATATATATATATCTAATATATAATATTATATATATCTATATATATATATAATATAAATATAATATATAAATATAAATAATATATAAATATATATATATATATATATATATGTGGTAGGGGCCGTTCCTAACCCGAAAAAGTAGTTTTTCTGTGAGAATCCATTTGCAGGATTCATTTTTCCTTTTCGGAATCTGGTTGCTATTCTGTGATAGTAAATGCGATCGTGGGTCGATGCCATCTGAACATTTCAACTGAAATTTGAACTGTTCATAGAAGTAATGTTTTGGTAGTAATCGGTGTGTTAACGTTGTGTTACCAGCAGATGTGAACGTGGTAGAGACCTATGCATTTAACACTTGTGTTTAGATATGTTGATAGTTAGACCTGTGCAACGTAGTGATGCGATTATGTTTGATGTTGATGATTCGTGTTTGATTGATGAGCATAAATATATCGACGTATACGAACTCAGAGAACGATAAGATTGTCGGTAGATGTGTATTGGAGGTTTTCTAGAATGTGATGCGAATATTTCTTAGATTTGCAAGTTTTCTACGCGCGTGGCTATTTCCCCATTGCAGAGAAATCGTTTGAGTACTCATAGTAGCACCAAATATTTGTTCGGTCTATGACACCAGGTGGGGGTACGTTCTTTATCGTAATCGAACGCGGGGTGTGAAAGAAATGGAACGCAATCGCGCGTCGTCAATGTTGATACGTTTAATGAAAATATCTTTAATGAAGAATTTGTAATTACATGGCAATTGTTTCGTTCTTGATTTGTGTTTGTTGGAAGTTTTTTTATTGTACGATTTACACATTAGCAAGTAGTCGTTTGTTGCTGGTAGTTTCTCATGCTCAGTCCATCTTTCTGTATGAAGCAGGAGGAAGAGGAGAAGGTAGATGAGGAGGAAGAAGAAGAGAAAGGGGAGGAGAAGTAGGATGCGAGAGAATGCAGAGGAGGAGGGGAAGCAGGGGAAGCTAGAGGATGAGTAGGGGGAGGAGGGGGAAACATAGAGGAGGAGGAGGAGGAGGAAGAGGATGAGAAGGAGGAGGGAGCCCGTGGTGGAAATCATGTACTTACTGTAAAAGACTTTAGCAGGGATGCAAAAAGAAGCCAGGGGGAGGAAGGAGAAGGCAGCAAGGGAAGGAGAAGGTAGCAAATGAATGGGCAGGAAGCAAAGGAAGGAGAAGGCAGCAAGGGAAGGAGAAGGCAGCAATGGAAGGAGAAGGCAGCAAATGAATGGGAAATAAGCAAGGGAAGGAGAAGGCAGCAAATGAATGGGAAGGGAGCAAGGGAAGGAGAAGGCAGCAAATGAATGGGAAATAAGCAAGGGAAGGAGAAGGCAGCAAATGAATGGGAAGGGAGCAAGGGAAGGAGAAGGCAGAAAATGAATGGGAAGGAAGCAAGGGAAGGAGAAGGCAGCAAATGAATGGGAAGGGAGCAAGGGAAGGAGAAGGCAGCACATGAATGGGAAGGAAGCAAGGGAAGGAGAAGGCAGCAAATGAATGGGAAGGGAGCAAGGGAAGGAGAAGGCAGCACATGAATGGGAAGGAAGCAAGGGAAGGAGAAGGCAGCAAATGAATGGGAAGGGAGCAAGGGAAGGAGAAGGCAGCACATGAATGGGAAGGAAGCAAGGGAAGGAGAAGGCAGCAAATGAATGGGAAGGGAGCAAGGGAAGGAGAAGGCAGCACATGAATGGGAAGGAAGCAAGGGAAGGAGAAGGCAGCNCTCTCTCTCTCTCCCTCTCTCTCTCTCTCCCTCACCCTCTCCCCCTCTCTCCTTCTATCTCTCTCTATCTCATTCTCACGCTCTTGCACTGTCTCTACCCCTCTCTCGCTTTCGCTCCCTCTCTCTCTCTGTCTCTCTCTCCCATTTGTGCACCCTCCCCTTCTCTCTATCGCGCGCGCTCTCCCCTTCTCTCTCTCTCGCGCGCTCTCTCCCTCCTCTCTCTCTCGCGCGGGCTCTCGCTCTCATTCTTGGCCAGCAACGGCAGCAAGTGTGTGTCCCAAGGCGTAAGGAGTTTTCACCGCTATTTATAGCGAGCGTATGTGTGACCTTAGATGCACAGCAGGCGCGTAAACAGACGACCACACGGACACGTATATATACGTACGTACGTACACGCTCTCTCATCTGTCGCCTGCAAACATCTGATTAGCGGTGATCCTGCTATCTTCTCTTGCTATCTCGCTAGTCTGCTGCTGTCCTGCGGCCGGCTGTGCTGCTGCCCTGCTAGCTGTTACTGCTGCGCGGCTCGTGACTGCTGCTGCTGCTACTGCTTGCTACCTGCTGACTGCTGCCTGCTGCTAGGCGCGGCTGCTGCCCTGCCTAGCTGTTACTGCTCGCGGCTGCTGCTGCTGCTGCTCGCTCGCTGCTAGCTGTTACTGCTGCCGGCGGCTGCTGCTGCTGCTGCCGGCTGCTGTCTGCTGCTGCGGCTGCTGTTGCTGCTTACTGCTGCTGGTGCCTGTTGCTGCTACTGTCTGCCTTGCTGCCTGCTGCTGCTGCCTGCTAGCTGCTTACTGCATGCGGCGGTGCTGCTTGCTGCTTTGCTGCTGCTGCTGCTAGCTCTGTACTGTTCTGCGGCGGCGCTGCTGCACCCTGCTGCTGCTGCTGCTTGTCTTGGGGCTTCTGCTGCGGCGGCTGCTGCTGCCTGCCTTGCTGCTGCTAGCTGTTACTGCTGCGGCGGCTGCTGCCGGCTGCTTGCCTGCTGCTTCTGCTGTCTGCTGCGCTGCTGCTCTGTTACTGCCTGCGTGGCGCTGCGTCGCTGCTGCTGCTGCTGCTGCCTGCTAGCTGTTTACTGGCTGCGGGCGGCTGCTCTTGCTTGCTTGCTGCTGCTGCTAGCTGTTACTGCTGGGCGGCTTGCTGCTGTGCTTGCTGCTGCTGCGCCTGCTGCTGCCTGCTAGCTGTTTACTGCTGCGGCTTGCTTGCTGCTGCTGCTGTCTGCTGCTGCTGCTGCTGCTGCTGCTCTGCTAGCTGTTACTTGCTCCGCGGCTTGCTGCTGCTACTGTCTGCGGCAGGGCTGCTGCTGCTGTCTGCTGCTGCCTATCTTCC